CACAACATCTTTGTTGGTATGTGGTGCTGAGGATCGAACCCGGGCCGCACGCATGCCAGGCGAGCGCGCTACCGCTTGAGCCACATCACCAGCCCCACAATATTTTTTTTTAATGTTTTATAGTTGTAGATGGACAGAATGCCTTTATTTGTTTTACTTTTATTTGGTGCTGAGGATCGAACTCAGTACCTCAGTGCCTAAGCGAGTGCTCTACCACACTGAGTCACAACCCGGCTGCTCTGTTTAGATTTTATCAAAATCAAAAGGTAAACATTAAAGCAGAGATTTGGGAATAAATTCTTTAAAGTGCAAGTCTTGTATAGTGAGAACTATAAAGTTTTATTCAAAGATATTAAAGAAGAACTGAAATAAATGGAAAGAAACTCCATGTTCATAGATTGGAAGACAATATTATAAGGTTGTCCAGACTCCCCCAGTTACAGACTCAACTACCCTCAACTGCATTCTTTGCAGGAAGTGACAAGCTTAAAATTCATATGACAATGCAAGGAATCCAGAATAGCTCAATCTTGGAAAAGCAAATTGAGACTCATGTTTCTGGATTTCAAAATTTAGTAAGCCACAGTAACCAAGATTGTTTGGTACTGACATAAGGATACACACATAAATCAATGGAACAGAATTCAGAGTGCAGAAGTAAAGCCTCACATTTGTGCTCTCACAATTTTTTTTTCCCCAGTACTTGAGGGGGAAAAAAAAGGTGTTCTACCACTGGAGCTTGAGGATGTAGCTCAGTGGTAAAATGCTTACTATTAGCATACATAAAGCCCCGAGTTCAATCCCCAATACGGTGGGGAAGGGGAACACTTTTATTATCTACTGGTCACCCTCTTAGGTTCTTTTTTGTTTTTGTTTTTGTTCTTTGGTGCTAGGGATTGAACCCAGGGCCTGGTGCATGCAAGGCAAGCACTCTACCAACTGAGCTATATCCCCAGTCCTCTTAGGCTCTTTGAATGTTTTGTGACTACTAAAACGAATGCATCCCATTTCATGATTTCTTACCATTTCTGTTTCTCACTCACCTAAGTCTATAAGCATATCTTTAAAATATGGCTCAAAAAAAGGAACAATAACTCCAAATATATACTTCTAAATTTAAGATTATACCAGGTATGGCAGCACATGCGTATAATCCCAGTAAAACTTGGAAGGCTGAGGCCAGGAAGATCACAAGTTCAAAGCCAGACTGGGCAACTTAGTGAGACTCTGGCTCAAAACAAAAAATAGCCTGGTAATCCCAGCGGCTTTGGAAACTGAGGCAAGAGGAACACAGTTCAAAACCAGCCTCAGCAACTTACCATGGCCCTAAGCAACTTGGTGAACCCCATCTCAAAAAAAAGGGCTGGGAATGTGGCTTAGTGGTTAAGCACCCCTGGGTTCAATCCCCAGTACCAAAAACAAATAACAAACAGGTGGTCAACAAAAGAGCGAGCCCAGCAACAAAAGAGCCATCCTTATTCTTAAATAATTTTTTTAGTGGTAATTGGACACAATATCTTCATTTTATTTATTTATTTTTCATGTGGTGCTGAGGATCCAACCCAGCGCCTTGCACATGCTAGGCAAGCACTCTACCACTGATTCCCCAACCCCAGCCCAAGAGCCATGCCTATTCTGAACAGCTTTGAAGCTATATCAAACCACATCAGGGGTTAAATGGCAAAGATTCTATGATTAGATAATGTTTTCAACTTTGCATGAATCGGCAATTTTTTTTTTTATACCAGTGATTGAACTCAGGGACATGTGGCCACTGAACCACGTCCCCAGCCCCTATTTTGTATTATACATAGAGACAGGGTCTCCTGGAGTTGCTTAGCAGCCTTGATTTTGCTGAGGCTGGCTTTGAACCTCCTGCCTCAGCCTCCTGAGCCGCTGGGATTACAGGTGTGCGCCACCACTCCGAGCGGAATCTGTAAGAGGATCCACAGCTCTCTTCAGATTTTCAGATGCACAGCGTATTGCAAATGCCCCATTAATATTTGAATAAATGAAGGGAATCCACAGCAGGTAAAAGCCAGTGCACTACCCACCAGTGGCTCTTTTTTCTTTCATCACTTTCAAACTCCAGAATCATGCCAAAAGTATCCTGAGTTTTGTGCTGCAACAATCATCTGTAATTGCTTTTCTGAATAGAATACAATAACACAACAAAGGTCTTACCAAGATTGGTGAACCCATCCTGAAGGGCCCATAATCGAGCCCAAGGGGCAGGGGCAGGTTCCTCAGGTTCTTGGTCCTCGGGAATAGAATAGAGTTCCTGAGTGGACACTGTCTCTAAGGAGCTTAGCGTCCCAGAGCTGGAGTGAGAGGACTGGCTGGAGGTGGGTGCCGTGCTGGTAGAAGAGCTGGATGTGCCTTGGGACTGTGAGGACCCGTGGGATTGTGGGGAGAGGACTTGGGACTGTGAAGAGACACCACTGGTGTGAGCCTGAGGGGAGGTGCTGCTGTGGGACTGTTGACTCTCTGCATCCGTCTCTCGAGACATCACGACTTCAAAAAGTTAAGTGTCCAAAAATAAGGTGAATTTCAAAGAACAAGGCTTGAAGTTCAAGAGTCAAGAATGGACATATTACAGTGACAAAAAAGAAAAGAAAAAATCCAGGTCAAGCGTGCTCTGCAAAAATTAAAATCCTAATAGTCCACTTCTGGTTCTTCTGGGTTGGGCTTTTCATAAGATCACTTTCACTGGATCAGCATTTTGTCTAACAGCTATAAAGCACAAGAGAAAATATCAATATATATATATATAAATATATATATATAAATAATTTGAAGATTACATATACACAAAAAACAATAAAATTGAATTGGGAGGCTCATAAAAAATTCCATGCATCCAATTATTGAAAATTAGGATACAAGTGTATTAATATATATCAATAATGCAATTAAATTTCATATACGCTTTGAAAGGAAAAGGGACATGGAATACAAGACTGATAAAAAGAAATTGTACAGTAACTCCCTTTACCACTTTAAGGAAATCATTTGCATAAAATGTCTGTGCCCCTTATACCCACGGTATTCTCCAGTAGGGTTGGAATTAAGTCCTATTCGTTCAGTCTAGGTTCCTTGACACCTAACTAAGGGCAAGTTCACATAATGAGGCAGAACCCAAAGAGGACTGCTCTAGACAAATCCACCTAACCCTTTTTTCTTTTATTTCTCAGTTGGAGTTGGACACAATACCTTTATTTAATTTTATTTTTTATGTGGTGCTGAGGATGGAACACAGGGCCTTGCACATGCTATGCAAGGCGAGCGCTCTACCGCTGAGCCCCAGCCCTTTTTGATGCTAACTAACACTTTCCAGCCTTGATGGAATCTTAAAGGAATGATTGGATCACAGGAGATCATAACAGGGCCTCTGACCCTTTAATTCACTTGATAGACTCTGAAAAACAGAATCACCAGTAAAGCCAAAGAAAATTTCAATGATCTAATCAGATTTTGTTTTTCAAAATAAAAAGGTACATTACCTCCAACCCACACTCTGGGCCAGTAAAAAGCTATACTCATACTAACTGCATTTACATAGCTTTGGAGATACAAAGGTCCAGATGGTTATCCTTCAAACATATTCAGGAAAGTGATGCCATGGCGGAATCTACTACTCCAGGACCTGCTGGTCTAATACTGCCTCAGCCAGGCTGAATCCCTCTGATGCTTCCCTGTGCCCCTCCCTCCAAAGCTGGGGAACCCAGGACATCATACATGCTAAGCATGCACTCTTCAACTAAGCTACATCCCAAGCCCCTCTGCAGTTTTGTTGAGCAATACTTCTCCAGTCTGACAAATAGTGAGCTTTCAATAAATCACCTCTCTGACCTGCTTCCTCATTTGAAAAAAATAGATGAACCGTGAAGATTAACTGAGGTAATGCATGTAAAGTTCCTCCCCTCATAATGTTTGCTAATGGAGAGCTATTTTTAATGGAAGACCAGTGGTGAGTGAAAAAACAAAGTAACCAAAGCAAATCTATAAGACTAGGAACAGAATTCTAGTCCCAGGGAAATCAAGAGGCCTTCCGAATGCCAAACAACCTTTCTTTCAAATAGAGAAACTGAGTCCCAGCGAGGACTGATCCTCTCCTATCCATTCCTTGCCACCCCATCCCACACACTTAACTTATGAACACTTAGAATATCTTACTAACTGCGTTTCCAGTTCCTGCAGCGCCTAGCAGTTAAGGTTGGGTTCTCAAGAAGTATTTTTTTAGAGATTGAATCTAAAGAATGGCAATAATTACTAATGTTTATAGAAGTCTTTACAAAGTAACTCCGCTCTGGTATTGAGAAGCACAAGTCTGTTCTTTCTCATCCTGTACATCCAGGCCTGTTTCAACCTGTAGTAAGAGGGAAAGTAAATTTCACCTCGAAGATTAGCTACAAAGGAAGAGTGTCGCCCACGCGCTCCCCCCTCCAGATCAAAAAAATCCAGAAATGCGGAAGCTCGGAGGACTCCCCTTGCTAGGACCCTAGGAATGGGATTCGAACCCGCAAGCACCCAAGTTAAGTTTTCCACTATGACTCACCGCGTGAGCCCACCTGAAGCCGCAAATTTTCCGCAGCCGAAGCCAGCAGAGTGGCGCTAAACCTGCAGATACAAACTCCACCCTCAGCCAATCAAAATACCCCCCGCCGCAGCCCGACCAATGAGGAGCAGCGGATGTGACCACCACGTGTAGCCTCAATGCTTACTGGGAATTGTAGTTTAGAACGCAAGCGGAACTCAGCGTCCAAGTTCCCCCCAGGAGACCTCGCCCCCTCAGCTCTACAGCCAATCAGCAGCACTCGTGTGTGCGGCCACGCTCTCGGCTTTTCTCCCCAACAGGTGACCGCGGCCAGATAGGCCACGGGCCAGATGTGGGGTGGGAGGGCCCAAGTGTTGTGTCGGCTATGGGGGTTGCGGCCCGCAGGGGTCCCCGGAAGGAGAGTGTTAAGCTGCCATGCTGCGTCGGAAGAGGGAAGCGGTTCGGCGAGGTGTTGGAACTGCGGCAGCCCCGGGCGGGGGGAAGGGTTCTTCTGCCACCAGTGCCGAGCGCTGCAGCCGCCGGACCCGACTCGAGACTACTTCAGCCTCATGGATTGGTAAAGGAGGTCGGGACGGGAGAGACGTCGGGGGCTGGCCTGCGTGAGAGGAGGGCCGATCGGGCTTGGGAGTGGGAAGGCCGGGCTGCTAAGATAGTGGGTGGAGCCCTAGAGAGCGAGGTCGGGGAGGGGTCTCCAGGAGGAAACCGAGGGGCGGGGACTAAGGGAAGGGGCGTTTGAGGATGGAGAGGAAAGGGGAGGGGCGGGGGATGGAGGAAATCGAGGGTGACTGGGGAGGGAGACTTGAGGGGCCAGAGCTTCCTGACTGAGAAGGGAAGATGAGAGGCCGAACTTGAGAGAAGGGAAAGGCTCCGGAAGTTGGAGCTGGGTTAAGACTTTTAAAAAAGAAGTATCGAAGTGGAGTCCAAGATTAGAGAGTGAGGGTTGGAGATGTGGCCTTTGTCTAGCATGCTTGGTTTTTCCCTTCATTATTCTGAAGATTGAGCAGCCTGGAGAGGTGTGGGTAGAGCTGAACTGGTAAGCAAGTAAGGCAGATTCTGGGAGTTGGAAGAGAAGGAGATTGGGTTAAAGTTGGAGACAGGGATGAAGGAACCTGCACGTTGGAAAGATAGGTTAGATTTCAGAATGACCCTTCTCCTAATCTGTTCCCATCAGTCACTGAGCACTTATGATGGGCTGTAGTAACCCGACTTTTTAAGTTGTCAAGTGTTTGTGTGGAAGGGGGTGTACCTGGGATTGAACTCAAGGGGCCCTCGACCACTGAGCCACATCCCCAGCCCTATTTTATATTTTATTTAGAGACAGGGTCCCATTGAGTTGCTTAGTGCTTCGCTGTTGCTGAGGCAGACTGAATTTGTGATCCTCCTGCCTCAGCCTCCTGAGCTGCTGAGATTATGATTGCCTGGCGTGCAGCACCAGGCCCTGCTAAGTTTCCAATCTTGCCTCCCATCTCAGAGTCTTTGCACTTGAAGTTCTCTCTGCTGGATGACAGTTTCCTCTGATCTTTGATTAATCAGCTGTATCATTCAGGATTTAGTTCAAATGTCATCTCTCTCCACACATTGCCACCTTCTCTGACCCTGTTCAACTTTCCTTCATAGCACCTAACCACTTTTTGAAATTCTCTCTCTTCATGTTAATTACATCTTCCCTATAAGAGCCAGTCTCATAACATATAAATCTATAAACATCTGTGACATGAATTTTATCTCCCAATTTCCTTCTAGCAACCGTTCCTTCAGAGTTAACACTACAAAACTCCAGCACAGGTTTCAGCAACTACAGCGTCTTGTCCACCCAGATTTCTTCAACCAGAGATCTCAGGTAATTTATTGGCCACCCCAATATTCCCCAGACACATATACACTGGGTAGGTAGCAGTGGCCTGTGATTATGTGATTATCAGGGACAAAGTTAGACTACCAGCTCCACCCTGTGGCAGCGGGACCCCACCAAGCAGGCCCTAGAAATGTCATTCCCTCACATTGTTTGTCGGATTACATAGACAACTTAGAACTCATGAGCTAAAATTAAAGACCTCACCCAGCACCAGTTCTACTCTGGCCACTTCCTTAGATGACTGCCTATCAGCCTATTATAAAAGTTTGTGAATGAGAAGGCAGATTTCAATGATAATAAGACTGTCTTCTTCTCTATTATCAGACTGAAAAGGACTTCTCAGAGAAGCATTCAACCCTGGTGAATGAGGCCTATAAGACCCTGCTGGCCCCCCTGAGCAGGGGACTATACCTTGTAAGGTGATTTCTCAAGTCTTTTATGAATAACTTCCCCCTATATTCAGCAGAAGTGTGCTTGAGACCTTAGCAAGTCCAGGAACCCAGTGATATTTAGCCTCAGAGATCGTACACAAAGAAAAAAAAATATTATACAAGTGTACTTTTCTGAGTATTCTTTGTAAATCTTAATTGCCCCAATTGCATTGTTTTAATCATTTTCTATAAATTTCAAGGATTTGATAATGATAGTTTTTAGGGAAGAGTAACTTCAGGGTTTTATTTGTTGTTGTTGTTTTTTCCTCCCAAGAACATCTTAGAATCCAGAAAATTTTAAATAGAAAGTTTACAAACATCTATTTTAAATTCAGGGCCACACAATTCCAGGTAACATAAGGTGGGATGCTGTTTCAGAACTCCTGTCTCTGTTCAGGGTTTTGACAGCCTACCTCACACTTTCATTATTGAGACGGATCAAGTGTTCCCCATGAGTGGTATTTTATTCTGATGGGTAAGCAAGATTTACATGACTCTGGTCATAGTTTTTCTAACCAATCTTATTTTCCTTGCTCTATGCTTCAATAGCTAAAGCTTCATGGGATAGAGATTCCTAAAGGGACAGATTATGAAATGGATAGTCAGTTCCTCATGGAAATAATGGAAATCAATGAAAAACTTGCAGAAGCTCAAAGTGAAGCTGCCATGAAAGAAATTGAATCCACTATACAAGGTGAAAGAGCAAATGTTGAATGCATTTTATTGTTGTTATGCATACATGTCTGGGATTAAGTTAAAAAATGGACATAGAGTACATGTTGGGTGTTGGGATTCTGGCTCAAGGGTAGAGCACTTGCCAGCACATTGTTCATAATAAGGAATCAAGGAATATTTTTTTTTCCTTAATCATACTAAAACCAGTTTTGCTTGAAGTTAAAATTTGCAACACCTCTAACCATGTGGAAGGCAGTTTTTTGTTGTTGTTGTTTTGTTTATTTTTTGGTACTGGGCATTGAACCCAGGAGTCAGGAGTGCTCTGCCACTGAGCTACATCCTCAGACCTTCTTATTTTTTGAGATAGGGCCTCACTGAGTTGCCCAAGCTGGCCATATACTTTTGATTCTCCTGTCTCAGTCTCCTGAGTAGCTGGGATTACAGGCATGTGCCAGTGTACCCAGCTAGAAGGCAGCCTTAAACCAAGAACATAATTATATTTTGTACATTGCAGTGATCTTTTTTACTCACAATATGATTTAGATACTATTTTTATCTCTAACAAGTAAAATGGGCTTCAGAAGTTGGCAGAAATGTCCAAGATCACAAAGCACAGGCACTCAAGGTCACAAAGTAGATACGCAACAGGACAAACCTTGAAATTCTGACCTTCTGATCCTGAATGGGTTTGTTTCTTATTTTATTCCATAGTATATCTGTCAGGGTTTTCTAGAAAACCCATATGATACAGATAGGTTTATTTGAAGGAGTTGGCCTGAATGATTGTGGGGTCTGGCACATCTAAAATCTATAGAGCAGGCCAACAAGCTAGAAACTCAGGTCAAGTTTCTATGTTAAGTCTTGAAGTAGAATTCTTTCTCCTTTTTTATACTTAATGTGTTTACTTGATTGGAGGACACCCTCCCACGTTACCAAGGGTAATCTTTACTTAAGTCAACTGAGAGCTGAGGATGTAACTCAATAGTAGACACTTGCTGAGCTTGGGAAAAGCCCTGGGTTTGATCTCCAGGACTGCAAAAAAATAAATACAATAAAGTCAACTGATTATAAATATATATATATATATATATTTTTTTAATGTTTATTTATTTTTTAGTTGTAGTTGCACACAATACCTTTATTTGTATGTGGTGCTGAGAATCGAACCCAGGGCCTCACACATGCTGGGTGAGCACTCTACCACTGAGCCACAACTCCAGCCCCATAAATATTAATCACATAAAAAACACCTTCACAGTATCATCTAGACCATTGTTGTTATTGTTTCCCAGTACTGGTAGTTGAACCCAGGGATACTTTACCACTGAGCTATATCCCTAGTCCTTTTTATTCTTTTTTTTTTTTTAATCTTTATTTTATTTATTTATTTTTATGTGGTGCTGAGGATCGAACCCAGTGCCTCACACATGCAAGGCAAGCACTCTACCACTAAGCTACAACCCCAGTCCCCCTTTTTATTCTTTATTTTGAGACAGGTTCTCATTAGTTGCCCTGGCTGGCATTGAACTTGTGATTCTCCTGCCCCACCCTCCTGTGTAGCTAGCTGGGTTAGAGGTATGTGCCATCAAGCCTTGTATAGACCAGAGTTGACCAACACCCAAGCACCATAGCCTATCCAAGTTGACACATAAAATTAACCATTCCATTTAGAAAAGACTCCCAGGTTTTCATACAGATTATATGTGCTTATGCACTTTTTCAAATATTTATAGTCTGCCTACTATGTATCAAGCACTATAAATGACGTAGAATATAGGAAGGAACAAAAAAGATATGGTCTGTGTCCTCATGAAGTTTATATATTCTAACCCAGCATGTTTAAACTGAAAGTTATGTGTCTCCTTTCTTTGCCTTTCCACCAAATCACCTGTGCCTCTTCCAATGTGCCCTCTGTTACATGAATGACACCATATAGCTGAACAAGTATAAACCCTTAGCAGATATCATAACAAGTTAATTCTCTCTTCCCTTCATAATCAATCCATCACCAAGTCTTAAAGAGTGACCTAAATGTGTCTCATCCATCCCACCCATCATCACTATTTTCACTGCTACAACCCTGTTCCAAGTACCATTCCCTCTCACCTGGACAACTGCAATAGCTTCTAACTGGTCTGTCTGCCAGATTTAAATATTCCTGTCATTGTGTAATCTTTTTGAAACCCAAATTAATCACCATCCTTGGCCTTCCTAAAAAGCTTTAAGTGGTTTCTCACTTAAAGCTTTTTAGGAAAAAAAATTAGTTTTAAACCTGTCCTTGGGTTTAAAACTAATTTTTTATTTATTTTTTTTTTTTAGGCAAGGTCTCACTATGTTGCCCAGGATGGTCTTGAATTTCTGAACTCAAATTATCTCTTCCTACCTTGTCTCCTGAGTAACTTTTTTTGGTGGGGGGAGTAACTAGGGATTGAACCCCGGGAAGCTCTACCACTGAGCTATATATCCAGCCCTTCTTATTTTTAATTTTGAGACAGGATCTCACTAAGCTGTCAGCGGTGGCCTTAAACTTGTGATCCTTCTGCCTCACCCTCCTGAATCACTGAGATTATAGGTGTGCACCACCACACCTGGCAAAACCAAAATCTTCAGCATGGCTTATAAGACGCCATATGCTCTGGCCTCTTCTCCATTTTGTCCGCTTCACTATAGACACAGTGGCTTCCATTTCCTCATCTGTACCAGGCACCCTCCTATTCCAGCGCCTTTGCATATGTTGTGGTTGCTGCCCAAAATCCTCATCTCCCCAAGACCCCATCTAAGTTAACCCCTTCAGATCTGGGAGCAGTCACCACTCCTCAGAGAAGCCTTTTTTGACCTCTGTACCATTTTGACCTCTATACCTCTCCTGTTTAAGATTAATCACAGTTATAACTATACACTTCCATGTGACATTATTTGAACAATATTGATCTCCCCACTAGATTTCTAAAGAAGCAGAAATTATGCCTGCTTTTTTACTTTCCCCACATCTTCAGCTCACACTACAGTACTCAGAGCATAACAGGAACTCAGGAAATATTTATTAAATGAGTGAATAATAGCAAAAAAAATTAAAGACTATAAAATAGAAGTTGTAGTGAGGAAACTGTCAACTGTTTTAATAGCATTAGGACTGGGTGATGTACAGAAAGGAGAGACCCAGAGCATACAATCAGAAGGGCTTGCTGCTTCAGAAAGCAAGGCAGCATGAAGCTCTGAGGGGAAGGAGACGTGGGTCTATTGCTACCACTGCTTCTGACTTTTTTATGTGACCTTGAGCAAGTGACTTCACGCATCTCGGCCTCAGTTTCCTCATCCATAAAACAGAAACTATTAGTACTGCTTGTTGTAAGGAAATGAGGTAAAGATAAAAAAAGCGGGTCACACACTTAGTCTAGTTCTTGACTTCGAGCATGTAGAACAGACCTTGATTTAGATTTAATTCCTACATTTCCTCCCCAGCCGGTACCAGTCAGGCCTTATTAAGTAAATGTACAAGGTCACAGAACCAGTTAGTTTTGGGATTAGGACTTCAGAGCCTGTGGACTTACCGTCCAGTGCTCTTTCGTTGATGCCAGTTGCTATTCAAGAGGCAAGATTCAAACACTGGGCTAGAAGTCAGGTGCCTGGGCTTCTTTTCGCGGCTCCCGCAGTTCCCAGTCATGGAACAATTCCCTCCCTACCTATCTTTAACTACCTTGGTAATATGATGTATTTCAAAGTTCTTTGAAAGAAGGCACTGTATAAATGATTGGTATTATTTATATCTGGAAAACTCGGTAATTTTTAAAATTCCACATTTTCTAATGAAGAAGCAAAAGAAATATGAGATAGCTTCCTAAAATACTTGGTGTGCCCTGCTGATACGTGATGCTCAGGTGTTAATTTTTTTTCACTGATATCTGGAAGACTACTTGTTGGAGGCAATGAGGCATATCCTTGTCCCCTGTGTTAGTCAGCTTTCCATCTCTGACAAAATACCTGAGGTTATCGGCTTACAAATTAAAAAAAAAAAAAAGGCTTATTTTGGCTCACATTTTTAGAGGTATCAGTCTCTTGAGGAGGA